AACTTTGTCTAGAGATATATCCACTGGAGTTTGAACTTCCACTTGGGTTTTGTGTCTGGGTATACCACGCCTTAGAAACAGCTCTATGTAAATTGATATTATATGTGTTGGGGGAGCTTATAACAACAACAAAAACACCTTTATTCTACAAATAAAAGCCAAAAAGCGTTTAAACAAAATAAAAGTCAAGAGACAACTAATAATGGTGGTGAGGGAGGAAGAAAATCCTACAGAAGGTTCAAGTTAAGGGGGATTCCTTTAGTGGAATTCTAAACAGGAGCTTTAGGGAAAAAGTAAGAGGGCAAGCACTGTGTCTCATTCAGTTCTGCAGACCCTGAACTATAGCGTCTTTGACAAAGACTGGACTCGACACATATTGACATGACATGAATGAAAGACGTTAACCCCTCCTCTTTTTAAGGATTTTTACGGATGACGATTCTATGGTAGTTTTCTTTCTCTTCTAAACTGGCAATGGTCAATTACATTGCCAGTTAACAAATTCTATCTTATTAACAAGTTCTATCTTATTAATTGGAACACTCTGAACATAGTTTAAATCCATAAAAAACAAGATATAGCTCATTATTGCATTCAGAAAACATATTTTATTTATATTTATCCTGATTCTTCCCCTGTCAGAGATAAAAAAAAAAAAACAATTGGTCAGTCTAATTATTTTTAACCAGAGAACAGTTACACATTCTTTAGTGTTTAATCAAACTAACAATCTCCTTCCTTTTAATTTTTGTTCTCCATCTTAAATTGAATAATTGTGTTTGTTGGAGACGTCTCTAATCTTTGAAAAATCATTTTTAAATTCAGACTAATGAGAAACAGGACTTTTAAAACCATATTCAATGACTATTTTTTCTACATTTCTCTGGGCCTGGTTTTGTGCTAGACACTTTCATTTTTTTTTTTTTTTTTTTCTCATTGAGGTAGGTAAGTTTGGTGATGTTTTACACATAAAGCACCTAATTTAGTTTCAGGAAATAAAACCAGTTCATACAGATTACAAATGCGAGAAGAAAGATTCAAAGTCAGATTTTCTGATTCCAGTGCTAGGAGTCATATGATCAATAATACTATTAGAACATTAAAATTACTTTCCTGCTTTTTGCACATCAGAGTAATAGTAATTCTATGTCATTATTTGATTGTTAATAATAGAACAACATCAATGACTCAGCTGAGGACTGGAAATTAGATTTCAAAGCCTAAAAGCAGAAGTTGCCCAATCATCATATTGAATGGTGCCACATCTAATGCTTCCAAGGTTCTAACGTTATTCATAAAATTAAGAGCTTAATTACTGTACCTTTATTTTCAAACAGATAATATTGTCTTAATTATCTATGGGTGTGTAACAAATTACCCCAAACCTTAGTTAGGACAACATTTATTATCTCATAGTTCCTGAGGATGCCTCTGGCTTACAGTCTTCCATAAGGTCACAAGGTATAATTTGGGGCTGCAGCCTAACTTGAAAGATGAGCGGTGAGATTTGTTTTCACACTTATCCATGTGGTTATTGATAGAATTCCGGTCCTCATGGTTTGTTTGGCTGAAGGTTTCATTTCCTTGTTGGTAAGAGACGTTCTTCCTTGCCACTTGGTCTAACTCTCCATAGGAAAGCTTATATCATGGTAGCTGGTTTCTAGCAACACAAGTGAGGGAACTACAGCAGGTAAGGAAGAAAGAAGTCACAGTCTCTTGGTATAATCTAACTATAAAATTCACATCTCATCACTATATTATATTCATTAGAAGTTAGTCACTAGGTCCAATGTACACTCAAGAGAAGCAGATTGGTTCAGGGGTGTGAATACCATGAGTTGAAGATTATTAAGGGCCATCTTTATGATTACATACCATAAATATTTCACATATTTTGAATATGTGAAAGGACAGTTTTTCTATATTTCTTAAATAATTAAGTTCTCCACTTGTTCAACAGTATTCATAAGATAAAAATCATTCTTGTCTCACAAGGCTTTCTTTTTTTTTTTTTTTTAAATATTTTTTATTTATTTCTAGGAGAGAGAGAGATAGCGTGAGCAGGGGAGGGTCAGAGAGAGAGGGAGACACAGACTCTGAAACAGGCTCCAGGCTCTGAGCTGGCAGTCAGCACAGAGCCCGATGCGGGGCTCGAACCCACGAACCGCGAGATCATGACCTAAGCGAAAGTCGGACGCTTAACCGACTAAGCCACCCAGGCGCCCCTCACAAGGCTTTCAAAGCCATCAGACAATTAGCCACTCTGGTACCATGGATGGGGTACTGACTCCAGACTTGAGAAGATAGAGGGTAAGGGACTTTCCTTACTCCTGGTTTTATCTAAAGTGAGTCTTGAAGGAAAGATATGTATTAGCCAATGAGGAAGGGAATGAGGGAAATGATAGAGGAAAATTTTCCAAGCAGAAGGAAAATGATGTGCATACAAAGTTTTGGGAAAGAACATACCTTATTTAGGGCAATACTTTCTTAATCGATTATATCAAACATTTATACCCATAATCTTAGAGTTTGTGGTTATTCTGAATGTTTTTAATGAAGTACTATTAAACTGGTCAGAATAACTGTTAAATATCAAATTTATGATTATTCTATTTTATCAAAGTAGTTTTCTAATTTGATCCTATACAATGTATTGGACTGAAGAAGTCTAAATTTTTCCTGTCCACATGCACCAACCATATTGCCCTCATCCCTAATTTTGCTTCTGACTGAAGTAATATCCTAAGGCTGAGCCTGCAGAATACTAGGTGCAAAACAGATTTAACAATTATAAATGAATTTGGTCAAAAAAATAAATGTATGTGGTCAATCTGATTAACCCACTATAATAACTAAACTGCAAGGGTCACCTGGGTGGCTCAGTCAGTTAAGCATCCGACTTCAGCTCAGGTCATGATCTCATGTTTGTGAGCAGGCTCTGCACTGGTGGTGTAGAGCCTGCTTGGGATTCTTTCTTTCTCTCTCTCTCTCTCAAAATAAATAAATAAACTTTAAAAATTAGAGAAAAAGAATTAAACTGCAAATTAAAATATCTTCTTTTACTATGACACAAGCACACAAAATAGTAATGGAGAAGAGATTAGATTATTTTGACCCTCTTACTTCATTTTAGGTATCAGGTCTACTGGCCAATGATTAATATTAACATACTTCATGTAAGTAATATCAAGTACCCTGATAAGCAGCATAAAAACTTCTTCAGTTAGTGTCTTAGGAGGATGACTATTATATAATCTCCCTGTGCAAACAATAAACCGATGTATTGTTTTTCAGGAAGGATGTTAGAACAAATGACTACATACAACTTAGGATAGGGATCTGGTTGCTATGAAGCAGTACATACACATTAAATTGAATTTTTAAATTTTTATAATTTTGATTAGGTAGAATTTTGAACATTTGAACCCTAAACCCACAACCAGTCTTGTCCCACTTACACCACTAACTAACCTCCTCCCAAATTATTTTTGAAGTTTATTCCAGACATCATATCCTTTTGTCTAAGAATATTTCAGCATATACCTTTAAAAGAGAAGTAGATGCTGATTCTAAATAAAACCATAATAATACTTTTCTTCTTAGAAAAACTCAGTAATTTCTTAGTATTATTAAATAATTAGTCTTTATTGTTAATTTTACTGTCTTTTTATAGTGAGATAGATAGATAGATGGATAGAGAATGAGTAGTTCTCCACTAGAATGATTTTGGCCTGCAGGGGATATTTGGAAATGTCTGGAGACATTTTTGCTTATAATAGAAGGGGGAGGCCTATAGTACTGGCATCTGGGGCATAGAAGCCAGCCAGATGTGGTGCTAACTACACAGAACAGCCCTCCATGACAAACAATTCTCTATTTCAAAGTCTCAATAGTGCCATTTGGAGAACATAGATGGGGAGATGAATAGATAGGTAGGTAGACAGATGTGAATAGCAATTACAACAGGCAACAGTGGATAAAGGGGAGAGATGCAAAATATCCATGCTATCAGGTCATTTCAGTAACCACACAAAAGGCAAAAATAGATCTAAAGTTGAAATGATGATTCAGAGTGTGTAATTATTCCAGTCAAAGTATCCCATGAACCAGAGGACATTTCACGTTTTTTTTTTTTTTTTTTTTTTTTTTAAGAATTGAGAATAGTAATATTAATGGAACATATGTTGCAGGTGTGGATAAAGAAGTTCAGGAAAGTGTTATGTTTCTTATGTGTGCAGCAGAGTCAAAGGAAGCAATGAACAAAATGCATAGGAAATACAGGTAGAACATGTATTAGGCAGCTAATGGAAAACCCAAGAAAAATTATTTTGGATTTGCTAAACAATAATCTGTCAGGAAAGGCTTTTTTTTTTTTTCATGCAAAATGCTGCTATGAATTTTCACGATTGTGACATATTTTTAAGATGAAAATTGATAGTAGTTATTTAATGCAGAAAGAGCTATGCTCATTACTCTCCACATAGAACCCCTGGCAATAATTTACCTAGCAGAGCAGCAGTTCATGCAGATCAAAGCTGCATTATTTAAGTGTGTCCAGGGGGCAGATTTTAGCTCCATATGCCTTATACTTTAAAGGAAAAAAAATATATATCGGTTTGCTTCTTGAGAAACAAAGTACGTTTAATAGGTGCTTCTTGCAAGTCCAGCAAAACTCACCCGAACTCCTTCCTATTATCTGGGAAGAACCGCTCCCTACCCTAAATACGCTAAAATCTGAGGGGAGTACAAAACAATTGTGGGAATGTAAATCTCTTCAAATGAACAGCAGGGTATTTTCATTTAAATTAAACCCGAATGTGAACTAGATTCAGGAAAGGAAATGGCAGAGAGAGAGATAGTCTGGAGTTGCTATAGAATGTGCCTGGCTGCTTTAGCTCCCAGACAACTGATGAAGCGCAACTCTGAAATTTCAGGCCATTTGTATACCAAGCTCCTCCTTTTCTGTAGTCTTCTCTTCTATTGGTAAAATTCTTTTGCAGGGTCATGTAGGGATCCCACCCCTTCTCTGTGTTTTCACTCTGAAGCTCTATACAACTTTACACCTGAATGAACGCCAAACCTCACTGGATATATAAAGGGAACCTTGAAGAGGAATTTCACAGTTACAGTGCAGAAGCAGAGGGAAAGGAATTAACCAGGCTCTCCAGCCAAGCAAATCCTCTCCTCACCATGCTTCCTCCTGCCATTCATTTCTATCTCATTCCCCTTGCATGCATCCTAATGAAAAGCTGTTTGGCTTTTAAAAATGATGCCACAGAAATCCTTTATTCACATGTGGTTAAACCTGTTCCAGCACACGCCAGCAGCAACAGCACGATGAATCAAGCCAGAAATGGAGGCAGGCATTTCAGTAACACTGGACTGGATCGGAACAGTAAGTGTGTTTCACTTGCATGGATTTTATTGTTGTTTTTTTCTTTTTTGGTAGCATTAGCTCACATTCCTATAGAATCGTTTCATTGCTAACTAACCTGAACCATGTATATTTTGCTAAACAATCTGGGAGTAATCTACTGCATGTGTAGATTGGCATCCTTCCCTACAAAGTTAATGTAACTAAAACAGTGATTTGATAATGCAGGCGGGGACTTAAGTTCTATCAAACATCCAAAAGAGAAAATGTTTCTAGGAATTAAGCTGTTGCTTTTTAAAAAAATTATGCAAATTGCAAAATTTTTAAAAAGTGTTGTTCTAGATAGTGTACACTCAGGTTGTTTTCTGTGTATTTCAGGACATGTACAATTGTGGAAAAGTGCATAAATGTGACTAACCAAAGTATATATAGGAAATCATAAGCTTTCTGGGGTAAAAATGGCTCACATGGATTTCTAAAATATATCTAGTGAAATGGTTGAAAGTTTTAATGATGATGATCAGTCTAAAAGAGAGCTATAATTAAAAATATTGGAGAATTGTATTTTTCTGAGATAATTACTCATTAACCAAATCAAAATTGGGGTAATTGTGTATTTCTGTGAAAGACTGGGGAAACATTTATAGCCTTAGAGATTTAAAATAATAGCAGTACAATAATATTTTGTACAGGGAGTATTTGTTTTCTTTTCTGTTTGCTGAATTGACACACTAATCAAACATTGGTTAGGGGGATTCAAATTTCTTCTCCTAACTTCTGCTTCAGTCCTTTCCTTTAAGAAAAGTTCACATGCTAACAAACAGGTTTTAATAGAGACACAGAGAAACAGTGCACAGGAAATCTTACACAAATCTTTTGCTCCACCTCAATTCCATTCAACTGCAAAAAGTAGTTTTGACCTTTGAAAAGTCCAAGCAAATTGGACTATTAATGTCTTTCTAAGAAAACCGTAGTGTTTTCACTTTCTGGAAGATAGTTGCTTTTATGTACACAGGAGGTATCTGATCATTATTAGATTACTGAGCAGTGAGGTGGGTATTCATGGTCAATGAACTGTCACTGCAAAAACGCCAACTCTGTATATACACGGGGAACAAAAAGCTAGGCAGGTCAAATTCATCTCCGGCTCTTTCCAGGTGCATTCCTAAGGCAGATGCAGGAAGGTAAGCTGGGATCAGAATGAGACAGCAAAGTACACTGACCAGTCAACTAGTTTGCCCTTTCATTTTAATCCCAAGCTCTATGTGGGATGTATGTGTATCTACATAAATTGTTTTACAACTGCTGCATCCCTTCAGGCTATATCTCTTGCCACAGAAGTACTGAGGCCGAGATACAAAGTCCAACTCCTACTTCAAGATCTACTTCAAATTAACTTTCAGGATCCCACTTCAGTGCAAGATGACTTCACCGTTCCTTATCATTTTTGTCTTTTAAATTTCAGCAGTCTATCCTTATAAACATTTTTTTTTCCTGGCTAACAAACTTTGATTTCTTTTCAAGTTTGTTACACGCAATTTTCCTCAAGTTTGGAAAACAAAGCAATGGAAAGGAAAACTCGAACATTTCAAGATTAATTTTTGTTTTAATTACATAAGGCATGTCACAACGAATAGCCAATTAGAGAACATACTTACCAAATTCAAGTAACTAAACAAAAAGTTTGCTGTGACCAGTATTCAGGAAGCAAACACCATGATTCCTTCTGCAGTTGTAAATCAGACATGTTAGGTATTTTTCTGCCATAAAATTCATGGAAATGTAGCCAAGTTGTTATGGCAACCATACGTTCCTGATTTAGGGGCTTTTATATTCTTCAAATTTTGAGTTGCAGTGACATTTTGCATTTCAAACATTTTAATATTTGTTTTTAAAAGATAGCTTGGGAATTTATGTTTAAAATGTAGTTATTAAGGTGGATACGCAAAATGTCAGACTTTGTACACACATGCATGTATGATTTTCTGCAGCTGAATTTTATAATTGAAACAAAATATAGAGAGAGCATACACACTGTACACAATATTTAAATACTTTCCACGTTTTTCCAGTAGATTTTTTTTAAAAGCTTAATGAAAAGCACTTGCAGATATTAACTGATATGACCTGTGAGAAAAGGAACATTATATTCTTTTTTAGCTCACCAAAGAATGAGTACTTACACAAGTGTAAGAACTGTTTTAACCCTTACTGGGCAGTAAGACTAAAAACCAGTGGGATTTTCAAACACTTCAGTAAGTAATTAACTAATGTTATCCATGGAAACAGAAATCAGGCCTAGTTTATTTTACTTCAAAAATGTATAGCCGTATGAACTGATAGTTTTCACGGAAGTATCTCCACAACCATCCAGGCGGATTTTTGCGTTGTGAAAATGAAATAGGTGTTCACTTTCTATTTAACAATTTCCCATTACTTGGATACAGTTTTTGCCATTGCAGATTCCTTTATTGCTCTTGTTGCGTCGTCGTCGTCGTCGTCGTTGTCGTCATTGTTTTTGCAGTGTTCATTCGCTTCTTCTCTTTAATGCACATGCTTTTTTTTTTTTTTCTGTTTCCTGCAGCTCGAGTTCAAGTGGGTTGCCGGGAACTGCGTTCCACCAAATACATCTCTGACGGCCAATGCACCAGCATCAGCCCCCTGAAAGAGCTGGTGTGTGCCGGTGAGTGCTTACCTCTCCCGGTGCTGCCCAACTGGATAGGAGGAGGCTACGGTACCAAGTACTGGAGCAGGAGGAGCCCCCAGGAATGGAGGTGCGTCAATGACAAAACGCGCACCCAGAGAATCCAGCTGCAGTGCCAAGATGGCAGCACGCGCACCTACAAAATCACCGTGGTCACCGCCTGCAAGTGCAAGAGATACACTCGGCAGCACAATGAGTCCAGTCATAACTTTGAGAGCATGTCGCCTGCCAAGCCAGCGCAGCATCACAGAGAACGGAAAAGAGCCAGCAAATCCAGCAAGCAGAGCCTGAGTTAGAACTCAGACTCTCAAAACCAGACTGGCTAGTAACCATCTGCTTTACAGATCTGATCGCTCGGAAGACTCAAGCCTGCCATTGCTATTTTCTTACTTGAAAATATATGCTTTCTGCTTTGATCAAACCCACCAAGCTGTCCTAAGTATCAGGACCTTCTCTGGGAATAGCTTTTCCTTTTCAAGTTTTTCAAGATGTATGCATATCCTTGAGTGCAATTCGCATTTAGATTCCATGCGACCTGTAGGTTTAATTCCTTGTGGTTCTCGAAAGACTGGTGATAGCTTATACATCACTGAATCATGGCTTTTTAAAGCAGAAAAGGGCTTCTCGGTTATCTTCCACTCCCCACTCCATCCCTCACCCCACACCGTCCCCAACAAAACCCTTTCAAAATTAAAAAGTTACAAAAAAATTTGTTGCCATGAATCTTCACAGTAACACTTCAGAAAGGTGCTTTTTTTTGGTAATTTTCATGGAAAGTTTATCAGCCTTGAGTGATCTCCTTTGAAAGAGTGAAAGATACTGTGACATTTCACTTCAAAAATAAGCCCTGTAGCTTTTTACAGTCTCATTGTATGAAATTATACCCTGCATGCTGACCCTTGCTTACAATGGAATGCCAGAAATGCATGGCAGCAGCTAATAAGTAAAACTGATGAACTATTTATTTGTCAATGTTATTATTTAATGAGCTTTCACATGTGATTTTTTTCAAAATGTTAATTTTTTATGTTTTGAAGCTTTTCCATGTACCTAAATATTTTCCTATATGATTTGTGATTGATCTAGAAATATGAGAATACATGTTGTAGATATGTAAAATAAATATTTTAGTCCCCTTCTTACATGTATGTTTCACCATGAACTTTATCAATCATATGGATCTTTTTAAATCAATAAGATGCTTTCTAAAGCTGAAATATGTAATACGTTTTTGTTTAATCTGTGCAATCAGAAGGTGATTTAACCTTCAATACCATCAGTTTCTTTTAACAAAAATAAACACTGTTAAAAGTTATTGTCCTTGCCTTTAAAATGTATGAAAAAGTTGCATGTGTACCAAAATTAGAATTTATGTATCAGAGTATTTGATTTCTTTGACAAGACACATTCAAGTTTTGAAAAAAAAAGCTCTTCAGCAATAGAGGAGAGAAAGAAAAACTTCAGTAAAAGAATGATTTAAAAAGTTAGGTGGCAATCCAGCTATAGTAAATTGTAATGAAAATATCATATTTATATACGCCCAGGATGCCAAGTCTGCTGCCCATTATAATCACCTGGGGAGATAATATAAGACCCAATGTCCAGGCTGTCATCCAAGATACATCATACTTTCTGGGAGTAGAACTCAGATATCAGCAGATTTTAAGGCTTTCCAGGTGATTCCAACATGCAGCTAAGTTTGAGAAAGGAATTGTGAAAACATCACTATCATATGTTAGAGGAATTTTGAATACTACTTCATCCCACCCTACAGCCCTAAACAACAAATAAAACCAAACAAAAACAACAAAGAAAACAAAACCTAATTTTTCAGTGTTTTCAAGTCTGGTATGTTGTAATCTTAAGCAACGTAAGCCACAGTCTTGAACCAGATTGTACAATTATATAACTGATGTGCCAATTCAGTCAAATGACTGGTCCTATCTCTCCACATGAAAACCAAAGGGGCTTGGTTGTGTACTGATTGGTTCTTCTGTGTTTTCCCTTTTGGATTCTGAGCATGAAGGAGTCCTTGGTCCTCTTCTGTAGCAGGTTGTTCTCTTGTAATTGCAAGTTTAAAAGTCACATGCAGTTTACACATGACATCCTAAGGTAAATAAAGACATTTTGTCCCTTCTTGTGAGAGGTAGGAGAGTCTCAACATATATATGAAGACAAAAAATACCTCTAGGTTTTATAATAATGCTATTATCAGACAATGTAACAATTGACTTATCTTCCAGCTTTACTAACTAGATTTTAAACTATCTCCTATCATATTGATACTTGAGACATTTATAATAATTATATCATAGGTTGAATATACCAAAAATATATTGTTTCATATGTCTATTTCAGTTGTTTAACATTGCTCAATATGGGATATTTCACATATCAGACATTTTAGACACTTTAGCCATTTCTTCTGTCTCAACAAGAAGGCAACTTTAATAGCCTTAGAGTTAATCTTAAAAATTAGTGTGCTCGGCAAAGGAAACAATCCATAAAACTAGTAGGCAACCAATGGAATGGGAAAAGATAGTTGCAAATAATATATCAGATAAAGGGCTAGTATCCAAAATCTGTAGGGAAGTCACCAAACTCCACACCTGAAAAACAAATAATCCGGTGAAGAAATGGGCAGAAGACATGAACAGACACTTCTCCAAAGAGGACATCCAGATGGACAAGAGACACATGAAACGATGCTCAGCATCCCTCCTCATCAGGGAAATACAAATCAAAACCACACTGAGATACCACCTCATGCCGGTCAGAGTGGCTAAAATGAGCAAATCAGAGGACTCTAGATGCTGGCGAGGATGTGGAGAAATGGGCACCCTCCTACACTGTTGGTGGAAATGCAAACTGGTACAGCCCCTCTGGGAAACAGTGTGGAGGTTCCTCAAAAAATTAACCATAGAACTCCCCTATGACCCAGCAATAGCACTGCTAGGATTTTACCCAAGGGATACAATGTAGATGTAGAGGGGCACATGGACCTCAATGTTCATAGCAGCACTCTAAACAATAGCCAAATCATGTAAGGAGCCTAAGTGTCCATCAACGGACAAATGGATCAAGAGGAGGTAGTTTATCTATACAATGGAATACTACATGGTAATGGAAAGAATGAAATCTGGCCACGTGAAGCCACATGGATGGACCTTGAGGGTGTTATGCTGAGCGAAATAAATCAGCCAGAGAAGGACAAGTATCATATGTTTACACGTATAGGAGGATTAGGAGGAACTTAACGGAGGACCGTGGGGGAGAAGAAGGGGAAAAATAGTGGGGGAGAGGGAGGAAGGCAAACCATGAGAGACTCTTGAATGCTGAGAACAAACTGAGGGCTGATGGGGGTGGGGGGGAGGGGAAGGGGGTAATGGGCATGGAGGATGGCACTTGTTGAGATGAGCACTGGGTGTTATATGGAAACCAACTTGACAATAAACTATTTAAAAAAAAAAAAAGAAATTAGCGTGCTCCAAGATCTGAGGCATAGAAACGACTTGACCTGACAATGGCTTTTCATAATCAAGAAGACTCTATTGTTGCCTTTTTAAAAAGAAAATATTTATTTCCTTAGAGAGAGAGAGAGAGAATCTAGAGCAGTCTCCATGCTGAAAGCGCAGAGTCCAACACAGGGCTTAATCTCACAAACTGTGAGGTCATGACCTGAGCTGAAATCAAGAATTGGATGCTTTACCCACTGAAGCTTGTTGTTATCTTTTAATAAGAAAATGTTGAAACAAAAGTTTGGGTGATAATAAATGCTAAAATCATCACTGATTTGATTGCTAACGTGAATTAGTAAAGGAATGTACTAGGAAAAATAAAATGGAACAAAAAAAATTATAAATAAGACTTCCCTCATCTCTGCTAAGTCAAGAATTAGATTTCTCATGGTCACATTCAATTTACTGATCTGTTTCTGGCCATGTTACATTGATGATACATTTGTTGCATGGTATTTGACGTCAAATGAGAGGAAAAGGTCAGCAATCAATAAGAAAGGCCTAGGAAAAAATCAGGCTCCCAGAGAAGTGCAAATTAAAAGTCAACAGAAAGAGTAGCTGTATGGTTATTATTTAAAAATGCTAAAAAGCACTTGCATCTGAATTGCTGATTTTATTTCAGGTCTTTTTTTCTGATTAAACTCTGCGTAGTTGTCTTCTCACCTTAGTAACCATCATTTCAAAGTGGTGAATTGTGATAATTTCAGCAGACTCTGACCTCTAGTTCACATTCATAATATATATCCATAAAGGATTTGTTTATCAAATTTATTTTTACCACCTTGCATAAGGACTTTTTCAAAAGGCTTGACAGAAGATAGATATTAATATAGATATTTATACATACATTAAATATATATAGATAGATGTGTATATCAATAACAAAAATGAAGGAAAAGTTAATAGCACATATACAAGTAAATAATACAGATAGTGTGTAATACCCAAGTTAAACATGCACATAGAGCCTTTGGAAATACCTATGTGCAAAAAAAGTAATATTTTTACTACAAATTACTTTTATTTATTTATTTACATTAATTACAAATAATTGCTAATTGACAATACTCTACCAGCCATGTTTATTTTACTGTGTAGATTTTTTAAAGCAATGAAAAGTAAGTCACTTTACAAATGTTTTAAAATGTTTTTATTTATTTTTGAGAGAGAGAGAGAGAGTGCATGCATGAGACAGAGAACGGAGAAGGAGCAGAGAGAGAGGAAGACACAGCAACTCAAGCAGGCTCCAAGCTCTGAACTGTCCGTGCAGAGCCCAGCGCAGGGTTAGAACCCATGAATGGTGAGCTCACGACCTGAGCCAAAATCGGACACTTAACTGACTGAGCCACCCAAGTGTCCGGCTTTTTTTATTATTATTATTAAAAAGAAAGTATATTCCAGCTCAGTATCACATTAGTAAGGTTTTACTGGGAGGTCTTACTGTATCATTCATTCTATCTGCTACTAGAATTATTATTTTTTAATTACGTAATCTGATATATCTATTTAGCATGATATTTACTTTAGTATGTACTGAGTACAATGGTTAAACTAGGTAGTTATGGTGTAAAGAATAACATTTAGTCAAAGCAAAACCAGGAAACTTCCTAACACCTGAATAAAGTCTTTGAACATTTAGATTTAGTGTATGAAATACACTTATTTTTGCCATCATCATGAAGTTTAGGTATCAAAATCAAATTCATGGGGCACCTGGATGGCTCAGTTGGTTAAGTGTCCAACTTTGGCTCAGGTCATGATCAATGGTTTGTGGGTTCAGGTTCAATGTCGGGCCCTGTACTGACAGCCCAGAGCCTGGAGGCTGCTTTGGATTCTGTGTCTCCCTCTCTCTCTGCCCCTCCCCTGTTCACACTCTGTCCCTCTCAAAAATAATAAACATTAAAAAATTTTTTGAAAATAAAATTTATTATAGTTGGATTTAAAGCATCATTTGGATTCAATGTAACTCTTGAAAATGTTTTTTTAGCACTAAAGTGGCAACTCACTGCATACCTTAAATTTGGCATTTATATCCTTCCTATAGTCATACAGTTCTAATGGAAAGTGAAATGCATGGAAAATATTTGATGAAATCCTTGTAGACACTCAGAAAGAATTCAGAGGGAAAATGATTTAGGATACTCAGTGCTAGAGTGCATTCTCTTGTTAGGATGTTTCTTTCCCTTAAGTG